ATTGTATGGTAGTTTGAGCATTCTTTGGCAATGCCTTTCTTTGGGATTGGAATGAAAACTGACCTTTTTCAGTCCTGTGGCCACTGCTAAGTTTTCCAAATTTGCTGGCAATATTGAGTGCAGCACTTTAATAGCATCATCTTTTAGGAATTGAAATAGCTCAGCTGGAATTCCATCACCTCCACTAGCTTTGTTCAAGGGAGTGATAGAGCTCATGATAAGTGGCCTCCATTTTATCATCAAAGAAAGAGGCATGCTTGTCTAAGAGTCAGAGGAGACCGAGGTTGGTGAGGGAGAAGGGGCAAGAAAGAATGGTGAAGATTTTGAATAAGTCCTGAAGAGGAGATTGACCATAAATAATTTAGACAAGTGCCACTAAAGATCCACATTAGATCAGAAATAAAAAATCAATCTGAGTAAGGGTGACATTGAGAATGGTTGTGCAAAGGTCATTGGAAGTAAGGGAGTGAAAGATAAGACTGTTTTCAGTGGATGTTTCACATCAGTGTTGACATTTCTTCAAGGGACTCTAGGAGCTGGATAAAAGGAAAGACTGTGAGTCAGACTCAGAGAAGGCAATTGCACCCCACTCCAGTACTCTTGCCTGGAAAATTCCATGGATGGAGGAGCCTAGTGGGCTGTGGTCCATGGGGTCGCTAAGAGTCAGACACAACTGAGCGACTTCACTTTCACTTTTCACTTTCACGCATTGGAGAAGGAAATGGCAACCCACTCCAGTGTTCTTGCCTGGAGAATCCCAGGGACGGGGGAGCCTGGTGGGCTGCTGTCTATGGGGTCGCACAGAGTTGGACACGACTGAAGTGACTTAGCAGCAGCAGCAGTGAGTCAGACTGTGAAGCCCTTGATGTGTATGGGACAACCAGGGGATGGGAAAATGAAAGAAAATAGAAAGCAGACAGTGGCATATTAGAGTGCCATGTGCACAATAGCAGGAGCACTTTGACAAAGGTAGAAAAAACTAAGTTTTTGAAGTTTCCCTAAGCAGCTAGGAGAACACTAGTTAGTATTCTAGTATTCTAGAATTCTAAATTCTAATTCTAACTAGAATACTAACTAGAATACTAGTTAGTATCTGGGGACCTGTAAGCCTTATGGTGTGAGAACAGCCCAAAGATTGGGAGAGCAGGTCAAAGGGGATAGTCACCCAGAGAAAGAAGCAGAACTGGCAAAGTGGTTAGCAGATGAAGGTGGCAGAGGGAAATCATTCTGCGTATTTTGTGTTGAGAACCAACTGATGGACAATAATGACAGAAAGATTTAGATTTAACCAAACCCAAATATCTAAGATTTGGCCCAGGTTGTTTCTGTGAGGGGAATTGGCTGAGGGCCCTTGGGGGCATCTGGTTTTGTTCTCCTGGAGGCTGCTTGACCGCCTGTGAAGAGCAGTCAGCATCTTCCTCTGGAGGAGGCTTGCTCTGCTTGTGGGGAACAGTGCCCTGCGTCCCAGTCTTAGGGCACACATGCATGCATCTTTTTATGTTTCGTTTTTTAGCATGAGAATTTCTGATGCTCATTCAACTTCCTTCAGACAGCTCAGGATCTTTTTCTTCCTTCTGGCCTAAATTACTTCTCTCAGTTTACAAGGGAGCTATTTGACTGACTATTAAACTAGAACACAGAGGCATTATTATTATATTCTTCCACTTAGTCGGAAACTAAGCAAGAGTTGGGACTTGCATGGACAGTTAGATACTAGACTGTGGCTAGGGGTCAGCAGTTATGGAGCCCAACAGAAATCATCTGGAGGACAAAGGAATGTGGTGGGCTGGACACTGGACAATGGTTAATCTCAAATCAGTAGGTGACAGTGATAAAATAGTGAAACAAGTGTGCATTCTTTCAGGAGGCATCCCAGAAATAATGCACTCAAGCTATGGCAGAACAACTTGCTATGTCAACCTCAAGGAAAGCTTGATTTTGAGACACTTTATGAAGATCAAGGTGACACTTCACTTTGCTTTGTCTGAGCCCTCAGAGAGAAGTTCATGGCGAGTTATTTCAATCTAGAGTGTGGAGAAGATGAGTAAAGGGAGATCTTGGCAGAAATTAAGTAGATTAATACAGCTCATCTCTCTTTTCAGGCTTCCTAGGTGGCACAGTGGTAAAGAATCTGCCTGCCAATGCAGGAGATATAAGAGATGCAGGGTCAATTCCTGGGCCGGGAAGACCACCTGGAGGAGGAAATGGCAACCCACTCCAGTATTCTTGCCTGGGAAACCCCATGGACAGAGGAGCCTGGTTGGCTACAATCCATGCGGTAGCAAAGAGTCAAACACGACTGAGCGACTGAACACATCTTTCTTGTCATACATAGTTCTGGTCAGTTCATGAACCAATGCTTTTTATAACATTTGTGTATATTGGTCCCAGTCAGTTCATGATCCTATGCATTTTATGACACTTACGTATGTCATTTCCTCTTTGAATATTAAGATATCTGGGATGACAAGTGTATCTCTTAATAAATTATTTCTGAAGCAAGATGTTAAGGTTTGAATCTTTGAATAATGTCCACTTTCTGCACTGTAGGCCTGAGCTAGGCTCTGGTCATATTAGCGGACAAGCTAAGACATTTATGTTATGAGCTGAGATTAAGTTCTGAAATGGCATACATGTATTATAATAGGTAAGGCAGTCTACATGCACAGTGAACACCCTTTGGATATCTACAATTTTACCCTTTTTTGGTTTAGGGAATAATCTGGACAAAAATGTTTGTCTCCAACAAAATAAGACTCTCCTCTGCCGTTTGCATTAATAACTGTTTCCTACTGTCTCTAGCTTTTAAAAATGTATTTTTCCCTTATACTTGCTGACTTCTACCTGTCTTTTTGGAGTGCAGGAGTTAGAGAAACCGCACCCAGTTTGCCACCAACATTACATAAACACTCTCATCTGGAAGAGTAATTTATGGCTGGAGAGAGGGATGGGCAAGGAAGAAAAGGGAGATGAGTAGAACCAACAGATGAGTTGGTGTTGGAGGAGGAGGCCTCTTGGAGAGTGGCTCAAGGGAAATTACTGGAACTACTGGGTTGAGGGAGAACAGAAGGATGGTGGCCAAGATTGGTTAAGTGGCAGACAGAGAAGCCAGGAACACACAGGTAGCCCAAGTAACCATGCCAGGAACAGGGGGATTTGGGGAAAGTGAGGGAGGAGAAAAGAGAGAAAGCTGTCAAGTTCCCAATTCCTAATTTTAATGGGCTCTCTGAAAAGAAACAGAGGGTGCAGTTTTTCTTCCTTGATACCCTACCTATGTGAAGGCTCAGTCACTGATCCCTCTTCTTTCTTTTCTAATCATTTCTTTTTTCCTTTTCTTTTCTTTCTTCTCTCTTTCCTCCTATCCACCCTGCCTCTTCTTTCATCTGACTGATTAGAACATCTCCATGTTGAAGAGTTACTTGATGTCATCATAGCTCCAAACCATTGATTTGTCAATACAGGAAATTGTAATTGTTTTTAATAAAGGAGAAAAGGAAAAGGAATGTGACTAATTGTCTGTGTAAAACCAGGCGACAATTCAAAAAACACTGAGTCTCCAGGAAAGCAGAAGAAGGAATACCCCTCTGACCACATCTGACATCACTTCATGGAATTTGGATGGCTTCTTGGGGGAGGAGAACTATTTTTCCAAGATAGTATAAGTCAATAAGAAAGGATATTTTAAAACCCCCTTTCTCCCAAGCACTTTTGGTTTTAAAGCAAAGTCTTTTTGTGCTTCTTTATTCTTATTTTTGGTTCTGTGCCAAAGAACACAAAATACAGTCTTCTTTGGGATCTCTATTTCTTGGATACTCCTTGCCGATATATCCTACATGTGGATTAAATAGATGGCATCAACAGTGTAGTTGGGAGGCAGAGCAAGCAAGAGAAGAGGGTCATGCTGTTCTCACATGAGCTTCGAGGTTGAGTGATTTCAGTGTCTGCAGCTTGCCTACCAGAGTAGTAAGCACAAAGCATCAGTCTATAAAGGATATTTTCAACTATGTTGAGAGAGCTGTCTGCATAGTTGAAGGTGTGATAGGATCACTGCTATTTTTGGAGTGGCATTTCCAGTGAATCCAAGGGGCGACTCAGTTTTGGTTTAGTTGTTCTTTCTTAAAATAGCTCTCCATTGAGAATGATGAGGCTCTGTTTGCTCATGGTGAAGTTTTAAGTTTTGCTCATGTCAGGAAAATGAAGGTCTTTGACTATATATGAGCTTTAAAAGAGATCGAATGCTTGTTTCCCCCTTTTTATGGGCCATGGGGCATGTGGTTTTAATAGACTATTAAGTCTGCAAATAAGTACAAACGTAATATTACCTAGTGCTTTGAAGGCCACCAATAGAGATACTCAGTGAGTATAAAGTAGTCAGAGTAGGGTTAGAGAGTCTATGGATTAAGGTACTAGAAAGAGAAAAAATATATATATAAAACTAATATTTCCTGCAGTAGCTTTATGTTATCCTTTCCTTCCTATAACTCATTTCTTTCTTTCCTCTTTAACTTTGTGTTTTCTGGTTACTATTTACCTTTTTTAAAAATGCCCAAAGCAAGCAGATGCTGAAATAGAGATTTAATCAATCTTCTTATAGTAATGACCGTGCAGTGTGATAGAAAGAACAAGAGATTGAGAGTTGTAAGGCCTTATTCACCATGGATAGGAAAGTAATTCTCAGGGCATAGAATTAAGAGTATTATTGGGTTTATCTTGAAGAAATAATCTGGGTGTTAAGCGGGGAACTGAGTATGATGTCAGATACTGAGTATTCATATAAATATTATGGTGCCAAAAAAGGTAGGGTATTATTTATCTTGGAGCAAATATTCTAAACGAGCATTAGTGTCTTCTTTGAGAGCATCATGACACCTGGTCTCAGCCTCTTTGCCCTTCTCCTCTAAAAGGCAATGATGGTTGGGAAGTCAGGGTCTGACTGTATCTGGCTCTGTTCTTGTCTCTGATCCTTCGGTGTGACATCTCCCCTCTTGCGTGCTCCCCAGGGCATACATGAGTGTGAAGGAGCTGAAGGAGGCACTGCAGCTCAACAGCACCCACTTCCTCAATGTCTACTTCGCCAGCTCAGTAAGAGAAGAGCTCGCAGGCGCTGCCACCTGGCCTTGGGACAAGGAAGCCGTCAGTCACCTGGGTGAGTAAGGCGGAAGAACAGCGAAGAAACGAGAAGAAGAGTAGGAGAAGAGAAGAGTAGGAGGAACGAGGAGGTCGGGAGGGAGTCCGTGCAAGTTAGCTTGGGGGAGTGGGGAGGAAAATAAATCTGCTTAATGAATGAGCTTCTTTGGGCTGAGGAGAGTGTTTCAAAATGTTTCAATGGAGACAGGTGAGATGTATTAGGGCAACAGTGGCAAATACTCAGAATGTTCTAGGCCAAATATTCAGAAGGTTCTAGACCAGATAATCTAGATGCAAATAAGTTGCTGACATGGGATAAGATCCATTTTGTGTCTTGATTAATCTCAAGAGGGAACCAAACAAAAAGGTGGCTAGAATGTGAAATCTGGTTTACAGTAATCTCTATGCCAGAAGATTGCTGGTCCTCTTGCATGGATTGGAACCCTGAGGAGATCCTGGGAAATACAAACAAGTAGGGCTTGCCTGATTACCTGGGAAAAGGGTGACACCTTAATCTAAATGAAACTACTGCATACTTCAGACAGATGATTCCTTTTATAATATCATTATTATAAAGGAAATTTTACTAATCAATCAATAGAATAATTAAATCAGTTTATGTGGATAAAGAGTAATTATTCAATATAATTTGTATGTATTTTCAAAGAGTCTTGAGTAGGGTTTATAAAAATTTACTTTAAAACTGAATGACCATAATTAGGAGGAATTTTTCATGTTGGAAAGAGAATTCTTGAAGGAGACCAGAAACCACTGTATAAATGATTTAAAAGAGATTACACAAAAATAATCTTCTTAGGAGTTAAATATGAAGCAGAGAGAAATAAATTGAATAAAGATCTCATAATACTGTGTATATCAAATTCATTTGTGAGGGGGTCATTATGAAGTAGAGCCCAGAATATTGAAATGATAATCAGAGAATATATGAGCAAGTGTCTGAAAGATTGGGGAAGGAATAAGATAAGCAATAGGTTAACAATAGATGAAAAGATATTGTTCCTGTTCAAGAGGAAACCAGAACATAAAAATCCCTATAGTGAATTAGGTTAGCATCCAGAAGGGTTATATATCTCAAGCAAAGGAAGAGATAACAAAAGTTAAACCTGTGGTGATCCAAACAGAATGCTTTGTTTATCCTGGGTTTCATTGGCTCTATAGTCATCTGATACAGTTTTAGGGCTCTCCTTTTATCATTAAATTTTGTATTTTCAGTTGTCAGTATATGATAAGTCAGAAATTTGTGAGGTGAGTGATGCTTTCCAAATCAAAACTAATGTGAGTCATTCTAGTCTTCATGGTTCTAAGAGGCAAGCTAGAAGGTTATATGCCAATAAGTCATTTAGTAGTGAGTTTGAGTATCTTGAATTATTCTCATGATAAACAGTGGTTACAGAGGAGCATGCAAAACTCTAAGAAAGTACCTCCAAATTGGCTCACATCTGATTCCAAATGTTACCTTTCAGTACATATGACAGCAAGGTTTATCCATAATGGTTTCTGAGAATCCTGGGTCAGTCACTGGGAATTGAATCTACTTGTTCAAAAAACCTTTAAAAAAATGATCTGCCTAGCCATTATAAAGACAAATCTTGACCCCTTAATAAGAAGTGTTGAGCTGGGAGCAGAGCATTGAGTATTTTCTTACTTTTCTGGCACTAGGCCATTGACAAAATTCATTTAAATAAAAAAAATGGGCAAAATACCAAAAAATTAGCTACTTGAAAACATCAGACATCAGCCAAGACAATGAGGATTTGAGAGACCCAATCCCCAGTTAAAAGAAAGCTACACTGACATGACCTCTACATATAGCTCAGTTTTGGGTTTTTTTTTCTCCTTGAGGGAAATTGCCAATTCTAAGTAAAAGTAATAGAATCAGAGGAGCAAAGAGCAGCAGTCCAGAGCGTGCTTCAGTCTCACTACTGGGGAGACAAAAAGCATAAGTCAAAACTTCTAAGGTATCCAGACTAGAGGGATCAAGTTCCCAGAGAAATAGAAATCATGGAAAAAATAAATGTGATATTTTACTCATAATTTTAAGATATTTTCTGATTTCTGAACTATGCATTCTCCAAGTCAGTGACCAAGAAAACAAGTATTGATATAAAATATCTGCTATTAAATAAAAAAACTGAAAAGTGATTTCAGGAGTCTTACAGTGGGGGAGACAAAAAAAATGGAATTGAGATCCTGTCAAGGAGGGGCATTGAGACACTTAATGAAATACTCTTCATAGACATTCTACGAAGGAAAACATAAATAGTGTAGCTTACACAAAGCATAAAATTCAGCCTGAAGCACTTTTAAACCCCTGTTTGTAGGAGGGTCATCTTGCCTGGAGGATCCCATGGACAGAGGAGCCTGGCAGAATACAGTCTATAGAGTCACAGAGTCAGACCTGACAAGTGACCTAGCAGCAGCAGCAGCATCTGCCTATATTTAACTGCCTAACAAAAGAAAGTTAAATATGCTCTGGAGGAAGACAACATCATCAAAAGCCTCTACAAATTTTCACGCACCATGTCCAGAAATCAGTAAAAAAAAAAAAAAAATTTCCAGTTATGCCAAGAGACAGGATCAAATGATGGTAAACTAAACAAAGAAATAAGCAATCACTCCATAAATGCAGATCCACAGATTATCCAGATATTGGAGTTATGGAATATTGGCTTAAGATAATTATTGTTAGTATGTTCAAGATAGATAAAAAGTTGTAGAGTGTCCTCAGAGAATTAGAATCTATATTAGTGAATCAAAGGGAAATTTTAGGACAAAAATACAGTAACTGAAATTAAGAAATTAATAGATTAGTTTGTGAGCAGGAGAGAAGATTTAGAAAACTGTAGAACTCATACATATTGAAGCTCAAAGAGGAAAAGTGATGTAAAAATATAGAAAACAGCATGAGGCATTTGAGACCTGATGAAAAATTCCTACTGTAAATTGCAGTTCTAGAAGAAGAAGAGAAAGATTTTGAGGCAGAAACAATATCAAAGAGCTAGCAGCTGAGAATTTTGTAAGGTGACAAAAACTATCAAACTACAGATTCAAACTGTTTTTCAAACCCTAAGAAGGATAAATAGAAGGAAAATCACAACTTGATTCATTATAGCAAACATGCTGAAAATCGAAGGCAAACAGAAAATACCCAAAAATAACCAGAGAAAAATTATGTTACTTTAAAAATAGCAATAGTATGATTGGTATGCTGATTTTTCAACAGAAGCTACGGAAGTCAGAAAACAACAGATTGATGCATTTTTTAAAATGCTAAAAGAATAATTGCCAATTTATAATTCTATATTCAGCAAAAAATCTTTTAAAGAAAAATTAAATGTATTTTCAGACAAAAATAGATCATTTAATACCAGCAGTAAAGTAAATATTGAAGAAAGCTATCCAAATAGAAAGAAACTGACTCCAAATGGAAACAGAGACATACAAAAAGAAATGAACCACACTAGAAAGGATAAAAATATTAAAATAAATAAAATATTAAAATAAAATATTAAAAGTAATAAAAATATTTTTTGGTTTAAAATATATGTGGTTAAAACATGACAATAATGGCATGAAAGGCAAAAAGAAAGTAAATTAAATTAAATGATTTAAGGCACCTTCTATACAAATATTCAGAAAAATTACTGATTTATTTATTTTAGACAGCTTATACATACCTTATATAAGAATTAGCTCAAAATAGATCATAGGTTTAAATATAAAAAGTAAAACTGTATAACTTCAGAAAGAAAACGTAAGAGAAAATCTTCAGGGCAAGGTTAGGTGAAGAGTGCTTATATATGACACCCAAAGCATAGTCCATAGAAATGAAAATGGATAAATTGAACTTAATCAAAATTAAAACTTTTTCTCTGAGAAACACTCTATTAAGATGAACAAAGCAATGGCAGACTTGGCAGAAGGATTTGCAAACCATACATCTAACAAAGGATTTGTGTCTAGAATATATAAAGAACTTTGAAAACAAGAGTAAACAAATATTCCAGTTAGAAAATGGGCCAAAGCACAGACATTTTTCCAAAGAAGATATACAGATGGAAAGTAAGCACATGAGAAGATATAATATCATTAGGGAAAAACAAATTAAAGCCACAATGAGGCTACACTTATTAGAAGACCTAAAAAGTAATAATAGCAATACTAAATGCTAGTGAGAATGCATAGGACTGGATATTGCATATATTGCTGATGAAAAAGTAAAATGGCACAGCCACTTTGGAGAATACTTTGGCAGTTTCTTGTAAAATTAAATGTATACTTACCATATGACCCAGTAACTGGACTACTGAATATTTATTCCAGAAAAGTGAAAATATATGTCCACTCCAAAACCTGTGTATTGATCTTCATAGTAGCTCTATTTGTAATAGAGCAAAACTGGAAATGACAAAAGTATTTTTTAGTGATAACTGCTTAAGCACACTGCGATACATCTATCCAGTGGAATGTGCATGCATGCCTGTTGCGCTCAATCGCTCGGTTGTGTCCAACTCTGCAACCCCATGGACTGCAGCCCACCAAGCTCCTCTGTCTGTGGGATTTTCCAGGCAAGAATACTGGAGTGGGTTGCCATTTCCTACTCCAGAGGATCTTCCTGACCCAGGGATGGAACCTGCATCTCCTGCTTGGCAGGTGGGTTCTTTACCACTGAGCCTCCTGGGAAGCCAATGATACTACTCAGTAATAAAAAAGAACAGAGTATTGATACATGCAACAATTTACATGGATCTCAAGGGTATTATGGGGAGTGAAAAAAATCTCAGAAGTTGCATGCTTATGATTTATATAATATTCTCAAAAATTTATGTGGTATTCTCAAAGTTAAAAAAAGAAAACTGGAGAGAGAACAAGCGAGTGGTTGTCAGGGGTTAGGAATAGTAGAGGGTTGAGGAGAGAGGTATGTGTGAAGGGGGACATGAAGGATAATAGAGGAACAATCTTAATGCTGATTGAATGTTTCAGTGTCTTGATTGTGGT